CAGTTACATGTTGTCTTGCAGCATTGAACACTGGTTAGAAGACTTCAAAGCTGCAGGGTAAGTCTTAGAAAGTAGTGCATCTAAATTCTAGCATAAGCAGAATCTGATGAGCAAATGCCTCATGTTTAAAATACTCAACTCACTATTTCAGAGTACTCTAAGTGCTACACCAAGCATATTTCCACTCTTTCTCATTTCACGCAGGGAGGTCAGGCTAAATGCATTTTAATGAAGCAGGTCCAATTAGCTATTCACAAACAGTTCCTGACCCTTCCCATCTTTGACATTATCCTCTCAGCCTCAACGCTCAAAACAAGATGCAACAGCAGGGCCTATCCAGTAGCAGCAAAGGTCATGTGTTTGCATTCATAACCCACTACAAATGCTTTGGTACTTAATGCTTCCAGCAGTTTAAACCTAAAACCTGCAACTAGTAGGCTAAGATGGTCATCTGATCTGGCAGCACTACCTGCCTTGTTGACTTGGGCTGCAAAATGTGTCTAGGGCCAAGCTGTCAATTGCTGCCTGCCCCAAGTTCCTAAAAGCTTTAATATTTATACCTTTCCAAGTAGAAATATAGTATAGGTATACTTTTACCTGTGCTAATTTTGGTGGTGAATTTGGCAGGTAGGATACTTGTGTCAGTAAGAGTGCCATCAAGAGGATGGAAAAAGCCTCTTTGTCATATGCTTATCAGTATGCTTGTTGCTGTTCTATAGCATCCTTTGCATTTTAGGAGTCGGCCTTTCTCAAGGTGTTGAGAAAGCTGCAAGTATGCAGCTAATATTTGATGGTATAGGCAACAGAGGAGCCAAACAAACTGACAATCTCGCTTGCATTTATAACTTTACTTTTCTCGTTTCAATGCAGATCCTTGAAGTCATCAGCATTACTACTACTTGAGTCCACTCAGTCCCCAAGCAAAGGCTAATCCACGTGTACTTTAAGAGATGGTCCTTGGCACATGAGTTTACAATCATAGGACATATCAAGTATGGGAGGCAGAAAGAGACACTACTCCCACTTTACATATGAGCAACTATGGCATAAAGTTGTTAAGCAATTTGTTCCTGGATAAGCAGCTGGGATATTAATGCAAGTGCTTTCCTCTCAATACTACATTTACAAAAAAAGGTATGCACGGTGTTCCTGAAACTGTGCACTCAGTTCTTCACAGTTAATTTGGAATGTCACCAGTTCACATAACCAGCTTAATCACAGCAAGTTCTCATGGATTATCCATGAGCTCCTGCTCAGAAGAAGAAAAAAACAAAACAAAACAAAAGAAAGAATAATGCAGCCAATTAAACTTTATCCTTTGATTTTTCAAATGATGACTCAAGGAGGGAAAAAAATAAGAAAAAGAAAGTGTTTTTCTGTTAGAAGATTTCAGTGTCAAGCTGTGTGCTAAGCCACAGCTATATACTAAAATAAACAAAAGTATTTCTTTCAGAGTCCAGAGAAATTAATGCGACCAAAAATATTTTTGGATGACTATTCTGAGCCATGAGTAAGATTTCCATGCAGCTAGTCTTAGTCTGCAAGGCTTGGTAGGTCCAGTAGGCTAAAGCTACATTGCACTTATATTCTAGGGACAGGCTGTTAGAAGCATTTTGTTAGCAATAGCTGCAGCCTGAGGAGTCCCTTTCTGTTGTGGCCTTTGTCTCTTGCATTTGTGTAAAGCCCTACTGGGGCCCACTTCAGATTCCTGTCTGACAGTCAGTTGGTAATGTAAGGATGAACATAGAGCGGACTAATTGGAAACACAGAGCAAATGTTGCAGGTTAGCCAGCTAGTGGGACCTTTGCCTTTTTTTTTTTTTTCTTTTTTTCCATCCTCTCTTTTTTTCTTTTAAATTTTTATGATTTCCCCCACAGTCATCACTCATTTGCTCCCTGGAGATCACCAGTGGCAGCTGCAGGGGCTGGTAGGAGAAGGGCAGAACAAGACTTCCAGAGGCTGTTAAACAACTGGAATTACCAGGAAACTTGATGCCTTTGTCTAGGTTTTAACCAGATTATGCGGCTACCACTTGTAAACTGAAATGGACTCTGCAACATCAAGAATTACAATCTGTGGCTAACTGCATAAAAGTCTACCTCAGTAGATTTCTCCTCACCTCCCACTTGTGCAAAATAACCACCATGCAGAAAGAACTGTTTAGGAATCCTCTAATTTGCAAAGAAGTAGCAGTGTACAGAAATGTTCCCCTTGACTCCAGCTAAGACTCCCCACTGCAACACGTAAGACACAAGTTTTAACAAGTTAAATCCAAAATCAGACACACTTACCCCATTACATGGCTGTTTCCTAACATTCATCCTGCTCACAAAGCTGTGAGGGCAGTTAGGGCTATTCTCCCAATCCTTGACCAAAACTCGGACTCTCATATTTGGACACTCCTTTCTTTTGCTCAGCACACTATGCTGCTGTTTCTCTCCTCTTCTCCTCTACCTTTTCCAGTCTCTTTCCTTATAAGCCACAGATAAATCATCCCTGGACTCCATTCCCTATAAAGCCAAAGCCAAACCTCTCCTAGACTCCCTTCCCATCTTCTTTTTAGAAGCCTCACATCCCATTCTGTACCTCAGCAAGGGCCTTTACCTCTTTTTTTTCCCAAAAAAGCCCTCTTGGCTTTTATTTTGCAGGTCTCGAGATCTCTAAATGCTGCTGCCTCCAGATTTCATAAGCCCCAGCAGCACACATGCCTCGCATGTATGAATTTTGAGTTGGATAGCAGTCGCCAACAGGCAAAGAAAATGACACAATACAGCAGCTGTAAGAAATAGGACCTACAGAGGAAGCCCTTGCAATTGGAAGCACAGACACTCTGAAAGGCAAAATAATGCTGAGGCAAGCTAAGGAAAACTTCAGGAAAACTCCCTTCTGGCTTCAGCACCATAGCTGCTTCGTGGTAGCCTTCTCCTACTTCTAGTCTGTGGTCCCAGTTAATGTTAATTAGACAAATAGAGATTACAGTGAGAACTGAGCCAAATAACACACTGTTCAATAACTGGGGAACTCCTATGGCAGGGGACACATTACACAAGAATTTCCAAGAGCCACAAAAACAGGAGAGGGGAAAACAAAACACAAAGGGAACGTTGTGAAGGGGAAGCATTGGGCAGGTTGCTGGAGGGCTGCAGGGAGCAATATGCTGATGTAGAAGGTTGCACATTGCTCGTGTTTTAGTCCTCAAAAGCAACCAGAACTTTGCATCTTAATTGAAAAGTTAAAATTTCATGCATTACCTCTTGCTGGCCTCTGTAATGCATTAAGCTCTTTTACAATTCCTTGAAAATTTTAACAGCTCTTTAGGATCCCTCAAAACACTCTAACAACCTTTGGGCATAAGAGTACACTTAGCCCCACACAAATATATCATTCAACCAAAACTTACAAATACTGAAACTACAAGAATACTAATTGGGTATGGGATACATTATCTACTAGGTATTACAAGCTAAAGTTTCTCTGTTCAACATAAATACTTTATGAGAAATACAGAAACAGTAATGATGACAAACAAATCCAGGGCCCCATCATGTTGCAGACGAAAGAGCAAAACTTTTTTTCTTTTTTTCCTAAGTAAATGTACCTTCATAGTCCACATTTCCCTATAATGCATTTGAGCAAGTTTGCAATCCTCACTTCAAAGATGATATAATTTTCCCAAGCCTCTCCCTCAAGAGGTGTGTGGTTGGTGTTATAGTTCACTTAAAAGCAGAGACTTGGAATCAAACCCTGGCAAACACAGTTACGCACTTTTGGAAATCTAATGCTGGGGTTTTGCTGATTTGGAGGTTTTATTTTTGTCAACTATTTCAATGGTTTAAAAAGCATGTCACAACATACAGTGCCACCTAGTTTCTAACCAAAAGGTTACTACCAGGTAGCAGAGCTCAATCTGCTTTCACACGATGTCCTTTACTGTTTCAAGGAAACAAAACAGGAGGAAGGGTTCAGTGTGCTCAAACTCACCCTTTTGTTGTTCTCTTCTTCTTGTGCCTTCCTAAACTCGTGCTCTAGGGAGCAGTCGATGTCGTTGAAAAGGCCCACTTCCTCACAGTTCTTCAGAAAGCGTGTTGGTGTAGGAGTCTGATCTGAGAATATGACAAGAAATTATCATTGGTATTTAATACTGAAAGGAGAAGGAGACAATTAAATTGCCTTCCAAGGAAAGAGAGGTTCCAGCTAACCTCCCTGTGCCTTCCCACCCCCACCACACCATCAGTAAAACAAACCACACAGCACCAAATTTTGACACAGTGCCCTGCAGACAGCCAGTGCTTGCCAGCAGTGTCCGAAAACAGGCAGCACTGTTCATCACTCAACCAGAAAGATAACAGGCCAGGTTTTCACAAGGTGCATAACACAAGTGCATAACCTTAAAGTGTGCAAGCGGTCATCATAATTGCTTGTATACCTCCAACAATAGGTGCATGCAAAACAATGCACAGTGCATATCGTAAAGCAACACACAGGTAACTGCTGCAGATATGTATTAGTTAACACATTCAAATGCTTGGAAACCACCTCAAACATTCTTTGCAAAACACATAAAGTTAGCCAGAGTGAGAAGTTCTGCTTCTAACACGATTTTTGAGGGAGTGAAACATTTAGAAAACCTATGAAATGTTAAATTTTGACCACAAAGAAGCATCCTTATGTGTTTTATACCTAAAAGTGTTGATAATACATATAAGTCAAGAGATTTGGAGTCAAAACATTTTTAATGCATGCCTTCATCTCTAGGAATTTTTTGCCCTCTCAGAAATACTTTGGGGAAGGACAGGATCCTCTAATGCAGGAGGGACTCAAGAAAGTACAAGGTTTTCAGCCACCTTTTCAAACACCTGTAAGACAGATGAGCTAACTTGCCCTGTGGATTGTAGTTTCAGTGAAGACCATGGTCTTTCTTCAGAAAATGAAACATCAAGCCCAAGCTTGGGAACCAAGAACTCCTCAAAGGTCAGCTCTGAGGCACCTCCATTCATTTTCAGGCAAGTTCTTAACTATTCCACCTCACCTTTCCCATCTCCCCCTCAAAATTACAATACAGAACCATATTAGCAGAAGCAGGGGAGAGTCCAAATGGTCCTATCAGCTTTACACACATTTAGAAAAAGACTGATAAAGAAATCCTTTCTTGCATGCTGGTTTCTTTCTCCCAAGCCCCCATTCCAGCTCAAGTTGCTTTATGCCTAATTTTATGGAAAGACTGGACTCACTCTCTGCAAAAATAATCTTCTGCATAATTGTTGACAACTACCCTATTGTTTGAAATTCCTTCTTTATAGAATTAAAACTCTGTCATACTAATCCCCGTAGCCCATATTGGGCCAATTCCGACCTCAGGAAAAAATCTTCCCACTTCATTGAGTTCTAGAATTAAAAATTGGTTTCTTGCACCTACCTAAGCTGGGTCAGGTTCTAAGATTTCACCCTTGATCAGCATAGAAACACACAGCAACCCCTAAACAAAAGGAAGCACAAAAGCAGTGCATGCAAACAGAAATGCAGTTTTCACTTAGAAACTAAGAGGGAGGATCAGACTCCTCCATAATAAAGCCAGCTGAAGCCAGTTTCCACTTGTATCAGGTGTGGGCCTGCAGGTTTGACCTTCTCAAGTAATCCTAGGGCAAACACACTCATTTGCAGTTATATCTCTGATGGAACGTATTGATGTAACATAAAAAACAAGTCCTTAATGTTAAAAGTCTGCTTTATTTCTTTTGGCTTGAGCATCCTATTTGTGAGCTTAAAGGAAACAAAACTCAAGTGTTTGGGAATGAACACATATTTATCTATTAGTTTTCACAGCTAACTACTGTGTTACCAGAGTCAGAAACATAAGACTTTCCAAGAATCCTGCAAGAACTCAGCACAAGGAGCTGAGTCAACAAGGTGCTGACACTGATGGGAGCTGAAGACACTCAGCACTTTTCAGGTCCATATCCTAAACAAGTAGTGCCAAACTAATCTCCAGGTTAACCTCACTGAATGCAGTCTGCAATGATCAAATGTGTTGCCTACAGCTGATCTCTCCAATCCACTACTTTGTTACCTAAAGCATCAAAACCAATATTTTAATGACACCTTTTATATCACCTACATATTTACATGGTGATCTTAAATGACTACCTCAGTCTCCCCATATGGTTACTGTAGTTTCTATGATCCAGAAATCAGTGACAGGAATACCAAAGATTTTGTTAAAACAGGCAGGCCCCCTTTACTCCCAATCAAGAAGGGGACACCACCAACCAGCTGGCGTAAACCCCATCCACAGACCTTCTGGAAGTCAGCTCAGCCAGATGCAAAACCAGAGCTGCCTTTCTACCTTATAATACTTCATCCTTCAACATCCATAGAAACCACCTTCAACAACCATAAAGCTTCTGTGTTGTATTAGAGCAGAACACAAAGATCTAGACTTCAAAATTTTGAAACTTCACATAGTTACATTGCACATACACTGCACTTGTTAATTTCAGGACTTTAGGGCTACCAAGTCCAGTAGGTTGTCTTTGTTCCTGAGGCAACCATTTTGCCTCTGCAAAACATCAATTCTCCTTCAGAGGTGAGCAAACTAGTAGAATGTATTACTCTCAACACCACAGTAACCCTTTAACCTGGATTAGGCAAGCCTTTGTGTTTTAATCGGGAAGAGTATCTCAAAGGAGACCCTAGCATAAGTTGCATATTCAGGTCTCCCAGAATTAATAAAATATTCCTAATTCTCAGCACTTAAAAATGCATTAATAGTTCCAACAGCTTGTGCTTGACCTCACTGTTCCCTGTTGGTACAAACAAACCTTTTGTTGCTATCACCAGCGCCCACAACTATTGCAAACTCACTGAGAACAGGGCTCTGATTTGTTGTACTTCAGTAACTGGATATGCCAGACCCATCTGGACCAAAACTCAGACAGAGCTAGCACCACTGTCAGCATTCCATGTAGGAAGCTATCCTGCAGGCTGACTGCAGGACTTATAATGTGAGAAGCTGCATTTTGACCTGGGCAGTTTGGGATAAAGGGGTCTGTCTAGGTCAACCCTAGGTATTCGGCTGTTATACTGACCAGCCATCCCAACCCAGTCCCATTCTTCAACATGCAAAAATCTTTCCGTTCCCAACTGCCACTACAATTAGTTTGCTATGCTTTCAGGCATCTACCTCTAGACAGCTGTCACTTCACAAGTGAACCTTCGTCATCTGACAGTTACTTAGGAAGTTCCATGTATCTCGCCTTTACCACCAGGTTGAACACAGAATCTGTCAAGCTTCAGGCTAAGCAATTATGTATTCTCTTCAGCCTATTAGTCAGGTGAATAATTGGCCTCTCTGATGACACAGTCATGTCCAGAAAGGCTACAAGAAACATTAAGTTTAAATAAACCTCAATAATGTAAATGGATAACATAAAAGCCTCAGAACAAGAACAAATGGTCTCACCTGTGCAGATTAGAAGTTAACCTACTGTATCTTATAAAAGAGGATTTCAGAAGCACTCTGATTCTGACCAGAACCTGATATACTGAATGTATTTTGGCTGCTGACTATTTGAGAACCTGTCCTCAATGTCTGAAGTGATGTCTGATTTTCTAGACTCATTGAAAAATATATGCAGTAAGGCAATGGGGAATTTGAAGTCTTCAGTAAAGTAAAAAGATTCCTTTACACACTCATTATGCTTGGTGGTGCATGGAGGTTTCTTTGTAGTTTCTTGGGCAGAGTGTAATTACAGAAATAATAACCTCAGAAAGGACAATTAATTTCAATATATTGCTTTCAAAACAACAGCTCAGGAAGTGCAACATTAGCTTGCTATATAGAGAGCTTATTTGAATCATTCAGAATGCATTTTATAAAACTAGCTTGGATCTTAGAGTTTAATCCGTCGAAGCACAAATGAAAACTTTAAAGCATGATACCAGTTAAAAATCCCTGGAGAACCAAAGGACACTTACGTGAAACAAGCTTTGATTTAAAAGAAGAAAAACAGAATTCCAATTCAGTAAAAGACACCCAACAGCACAGCTCCACAGTGTGTAACTTGATTCTTCATCTTTTAAAAAAAATAAGTTTAGTCTGATGTGCAGTAATAACAGGCATTTGGCTTGTTCAGCTGTGGGCTCTGTTGAAGTTCTGTGCTTACCCGTGTTATACTTTCATACAATGAAAACAAAGTCAGAGTAATAGGGCTAGCACTGAAATTTGCAGGGCTGCCCATCAAGCAACCACAAGGGAAGAGGAATACTCTGAGAAATTCAAGATTTCTTCATTGGTTTGACAGGTTACTACCCAAATGCACCAAGAAGCTCAAGGTCACACCTCAAGCAGGTGATGGAAGAGGAGATGAATAAGAAGTGCACCTAGTCATACCTGGCGGAACTGCCCTCACCCAGGGGCTCACATATGAGGGCTCGAAAGAACTTTCCTGCTTAAAGATGCACTGTTTGAAGTGCTGGTTGGACTACCTGTGGGGATACACATATTGGGTTCTGCACATCTGTAATGTCTTCTGGTCACTCAGAACCTGACCAGTTGCATTTTAGAAGCAAACAAGAAATCAAACAAAATTATCTGTCCTTATATCCAATCATTTTGCATTCCACAAAATTCATGCCTAAATCAACCTCACTGAATAAACCACAAAAAGAAAAAATTTAGCCAAGCGAGGATGATGTATGTTACCTCTGACACAGGCATTACCTGGGAAAAGTAATACATTTGCACTACATTTAGCACATACACTTTTTCATCTAGAGGAGGATGTTTCTATTGCCATAGTACACTTTACCACCAAAAATCTAGAGGATTGGATTTCAGCAAATAGTATCAGGAAAAAACAAGATTTTTCAAGATAATCCTGCATCTGCTAGCAGCACTTTCAGAAGGAGTTCTCCAGCTCCGACAATGGTGTGGTATCACCCTTGCCCAAATTTGATGCCACAGGAATTCCAGTGTCCCGAGCTACCAAAGTTCAGTTTTACATGGCTTTTAGTACTTACCCGGAAGGAGCAATCTGTCCCACAGACATTAATATTTCAGTGTTAAAACAAAAAAGCTTTGACACACAACATATTATATTATAGAGTTTCAAAGCAATGCAATGTTCAGTTAGTACAACAGCAAAAAAACTACATTTGTCAATCAACCTAGCTACAAAGTTTCCTGCAATCATGACTGGTGTGCAAAACTTACAAAAGATATTCTGTGTTATCTGAAACAGCTCTTTTTTAGCTAGGAAAGATGGAAATGAAAACCATCAGTGACTCTCTATCCATACGCATAATAAGTTTTACTAACAGAAAAAAAAGAAAAAAGTACACAAAAAGAAACAAATAACATTAATTTAAAAAAAGAGAAAAAAGACTGTAATGTCAAATTATCCAACAAAAGAATCACTTGCATTTTAATTAAGTGCCTTTAGCAGACTTCCCTTTCATTTATAGAGAGAACAGAAAGCTATTTAGTGTATGTATGTACCTGGGGTATCTGAATTAGTTCTGGAGTCACCAGATGTAATAAAACTTACTCTTCTTCAGCCAGCATGAAAAAAATGGAAGAAAATATAGCGGAGCTAGTTGATGACAAGGCAACTCTTGGCTAGACATACCTGATAAACCAGCATTGCACCAATACTTTCAATCAGGTTACGGAACTGTGTTTACTAAACATTAACCCCACCTACCTAACATATAACTTTACATGTAGTATAACTGCCTCTCACTCACAAATTGGTATTTCAGACCTCAGCACTGCTTTCACACAAGAAACAAGTTCCTACTTCTGAAGCAATGTTTTGCTTAGTTGCCAAGATGCTGGTACAAGACCAACAGCCACTCAGTTTTAGCGCCTACCTCCAATAACAGTTTATAGAAGACATGCTTAGTGTGTGTCAAATATTATTGATATTATACTGACTCCAGACTGGAAACAGAGTAGATAATTCTAACGGCCACCTGAATGCATACAGCGCATTATTTTGCATAATTACTAATAATGACTGGATAAAATACAACACATTGAAAGATAGTATACAACATATTGGAGAAAAGGAGAAAGTCTGGCTTCTAGGCAGCTTAACAAAAAGGGGCGGGGGGGAAAAAACACAGCACACACTACCACTGCACCTGGTTTGTTACAGGATAATTGCTGATGCAATTCTTTGAACCTCCTGATGACAGAAAAAATGAAAAAAAAAAGTCAAATAAGCAAAAATGCAAAAAACAAGAAGGAAGACATGAAGACAAATGTCTAAGAGAAAAGTCTGTCTCTTTTCCCCATATATCATTAATTTTTCATTATGAAATCTAAGAATAAAACATCTTAAACTTTAAGGTATTTAGATTTCCCCAGGGTTTCGGAGGGTAATGAAACAACTATTTTTCAATGTCTCCCTGCAGAGAGCAGATGATCTATGATGCTTCCAAACTAAGGATTGCAAAATGCCAAACAAATCCATGAAACAAACATAAGAAGAAAAACCTATACATGGCAATACCAGGTTGCCAGGCCACCACAGTTAGACATACTTGCAGCTTTTTACTCTTTTATTACTACAGAGGATCATCATACACAAAGCACAAAGAACACATCCCTCAGAAGCAATCCTGGAGCCTTTCTGGCCACAAAATTCTGCATTTCTTTATACTTAGTTAGTTAACTGTGGGTCTAGGGACTCCAGTAATGGTCGTAGTGGTGGAAGCCAATCAAAGCCTTTTGCCTGGGAAAGCAACCCATTGGAACAAGCAGGACAGCTAAATCATAGAAGTTGTCAAATATAAACAGACCTACTCTACCCAGGGGACTCCTGATGACAGAATATACTCCTTAGAAACTGCCTTCAAGCAAAAGTCTTGCCAAACAGAAAGCTGTAACAAAAGCCAGCACTTTCACAGGGTGAATGTGCCCACAGCATAGATGTCCTCAAGCAGTTTCATTGCCAGAGGACATGGCCAAGCACAAGAGCAGCATTTTCTCACTTGTGCTTGCAAACACAGGATTCTGTGGGCACAGCTGGCATACAGGCCCTACTTTTCAATGTGCTGTGTACTGTCCTTTTCTGAACTTAGTCCACTATGGCATTTACAAGTGTAAGAGATAAATAAGTTCTATTTGGGACAAGGTCTGTTTGATTTTTCAGTGGTCCCTCAAGTCCCAATTAAAAAAAACAAAAACAAAACCAAAACAAAACAAACAAAAAAAACCCCAAAAAAACTTAAACCAAAAAACGTAAACAAAAAACCCCCACAAACAAACAAAAAAATCAAATATGTGCAAACCATTGTATACAATTATCATTTCAACTAAAATGGAAGTTCCTTATCCATAGATGCATTAGTCTGCTGGAGACCCTTTAATCATCATTTATTTGCACTTAAAATGGCACAATTTACCTTGAAGAAGCCCGTTTCAAAAGATAAATATCAAACACTGGTTAATAAACCCACATACATTTGCTTCATAGGTTTTTTCTATTACTTTGAAACCTGAAAAATCCTAGTGATATTATTTTTAATAATACATTACTAAAGCCCAAAGAATATACAATAGAAAAAGGAACAGGAAAGGAGAGAAGTGGTAAGATTAAGGCTAGCTTGACCTTCCCCAGCACTTGCAAGCTACCGATGTGTAGTTACTCAGAAAAGAGCATGAAAAGACTATATAACAAAAACCTACATAAGAAACTAATGGATGTAATTGCACATAATACCAAACAACCTCTGTGTATGACAGGGAAAGTGCAGGGAGAATTTGTTACCTGTAGCAGAAAAGTACTGAATCGTACCCACTGGTTAACTTTTCTGGTTATGGCTATTTACAGTGGGCAGGTCTTAAGCCACAATAAAGGTGGCTAATATGGCTGGCCTTTTACAGTTGCTGAAATGAGCCTGTCAAACTTAAGTAGCTAGTCTTGTAGGAACATTACAAATACACTTCATTAACACGCTCACTGCTGGGCTCCCAGGTGACATGCGCTGAAGTGCATATCTTTCACTGGCATGTTGACACGGGAGTCAGTGATAGAGCTGCCAGCATGGCTGAGGTTCAGCAAAATGAGAATTCTCTCCCTCTCATGCCAAACCTGTGGGAAGACATAAGAATGGCAACTGTCTTTTTGTTCAGAGATAGGCATTCTAGTTTATTCCATCTCTACTTGTTATTTAATTGGAGCTGGGGCTTTTTAAAACCAATCTTGGAGGTATTTCGCCAGTAGCTTTCCAGTAGGAGTCATGCTTTCAACATCATCTGAATAGTTATCTTGACTCTTGAATTCATGTCTTCTTACCTGATAACATATTATCTGTTTTTATTGAAGGAAACTTCAAAGTCATTTCATGTTTGTGCCTGTGAATCATCAGATGATCCTCTGTTGGAAAACGCTGTCAGGCAAACAGAGAGAGAGAGAGAGAGAGGAGGAGAGAAAAAAAGGAAAAAAACAAAGAAGAATTTAATTCTCTAATAAACTTTTGGCATTGGACAGAATTTCAAAAATGAGAGAGAAAGAAATGTATCCAGCTAGAAATGTGTCCAAATGGCACCAGGAACAGAGTATTTGAAAATGCAAGTGAGTATGAATAACAAATAGCTGTACTCAGAAATTTATTTGCTGCAGTGCTCTATTGGGTTGCAAGCTGCAAGGTGTCATGCATTCGCCTGCAAAGGTTGCATACCAAGTTTTGGATTCTAAGGGTCTCAGGCACCCGCTCCAGCTACAACAGCCTCACAAGTCACCACGTGCCTGAGGATCTGCGATAACTGCTGTTGTGTATGCTCTTAGCCCACGGCAAAAGCAAGTAATGCAGCATATCTTAAATCACTTTACTGGATTTTTCTGCTTTTGTGTCTTTCTGCAACCTGTATCCGCTGAACAGCAATAAAAATAATCAAATAAGCCAGCCTTTTCCTACCCAAAAGTATTCAGGCAAAAGGCATCTCTTGGAAACCTCTGACACTTTGACTTGCTTCAAAGTGGCAGTGCCATGGTGCTCAGTATATAACAACCATTTATGACCCTTTATGATACTAAATGAAATTCTTTTCCTTTGTCAAGCAGAGAAGGTGAAGAGATGTGCTTTGTAAGAAACTAATCAGTGTGCTATGTTTCTTTTACAGGCTGGTAACAACAAATAGCTTCTTTTGAATAACACAAAGAAACAAGCTTGAATAAATGTTCAAGCACTTGCACACTTGGGATCAAGGAGCAGACTGGTTCTGTTAACTTGCCTTCACCAAAAGGTGCATACACAGACCTGTGCTCTGTAACAGTTTTAGCAAGGTTATTTCAGGAGTAGAAAAGGCCAAAAATCGTATCACCAAACCTTGAGGGAAAAAAAAATAAATTAAAAGCAGCTTTTTAAAGCAACAGGTACACAGGAGACTGTAAAAAACTGGCAACAATAGAGTTAAAGTGACTTAATGCTTTCAACACAGTCCGTTCTTGACTAAGTGACTTTGCTTGTGGCTGTAGTATTAATAGTTGCAGTATGTTACACCTTCTGAAAATCTCTCTAAGCCCATAGACAAAGCAGCATAAATAATGGGAATGAATGCTCTGGAAAAAAAAAAACAAAAAATCCCAAAGACCTTTTCCTCACTGTGAAATCCTGGTTCACTGCTTACTCATCTGGAAGAAATGCAGCACTAGAAATTTATGTTAAGAACAAAGGGAATATGTGAAAGACCTTGCTCAATGAAACTGTGAGGGGAAAAAAAAACATGTTTTGTTCTTGTGGAAATGGATTTTTCCTTCATGGATGCCACGCTCTGTCTTCAGGGTGAAATCAGCCAGCTTAAAGAGGGCATGGGGCAACTGAGAAGAAGCTATTCCTCTAGCCCAGACTTCTCTCTTTTCTGCAAGTCTACTTTTCCCTTATGCAGAAGGTCAGCTCCCTCAGCCCTCAATACACATTTGCACAGGCTGATAGAGAAGCCAGTCCCCAGGCTGGATAGCAGTACTACACTGTGCACTTCTGTCAAGTCCTCATTTACAATAAATGGAGGTCATGTTTTGAAAAGAGGAATAAAATTAATTATTTTTTTTTTAGATTAAGTCACAGCTACACTTCTTGTGTCTCTAAATTGGACCAGCATACAACCAAACCTCCTCTCTGAACACCTAAATGAGCTTGCTTGGATCAGCTTCTCCTCCACTGAGGAAATTAATTAATAGCTGACATGAAAACACTCCAGATCACTGATCTGAGTGGAAGTTCGTTTTAAGATTCAACAAAAAGGTAAATAAAACTTGACTATAAAACCCGGATACTTTTATTCTACCTTGTGACAGAATGGTGAAAGTTTAATCCTACATGTCGAGATCTGAAATGACAAATTCTCAATCAAAGGGACGATCCAAAAGATTCACTCTGATGCAAAGCTGCTCAGCCAGTTGTTAACCAGAACTCAGGCTTCTCCCTTTCTTTATTTCAGCTCTTGACAAAATCAAGATCTACACTCCAGTAAGTCACCCATAATTCCACCAGAAGAACCTAAAGTGTTGTGAAAATATGAGCCAGCTGAAAACTCCCAACATGCAGTTAAAGGAGGGAAATATTACCCTCACTATAAGAGGAGGGTTCTGGGAAACAGGTAAGCTAATTCACTTAAAACAGATACATACAGGAAGCCTGTGGCAAAAGCCCAAAGGAAGCCCTTGCAGGAAGATTTTACTCACAAACTCTTGTCACTTATCTGAATTAGGGTTAGAAATGCCACATGTGGAACTTCCTTCATCACTGCATGGAGGGGGAACTTCCCTCACCACTGCAAAACCATCGAAACAACACACAAATCCCAATTCAAAATCTCAGCAGGCAAAATCCTTGCCACTTCTGGTTTTTTAAGATCATTAAGCATCTACTGTTACAAGTCAGATTATAGCCTCGGAGACACATGGCAGATCAACAGTCAACAGGAATCCCAAATGTACATGCTGGGGCAGAATTTATATACAGGCTGCATATTCTATACAGAATATTCTGTAGGGAGATGTCAGAAAGATTAAGAGAGAAAAGAAAAAAAGCTAATAAGGTATTGTATTTAAGTATTTAACCAACCGACCAAAAAAAAAGGCAGGAGGGTTACCACATCCAATAGAAAACATAGTGTAGTCCATCCTACATCTAAGCAGAAGACAAACAAATGTACCCTGTCTAGTGTGTCCTCTCTTGCCCTCTTGCTAGCCACTAAAACAATTTGTAATACCTGTCTTGAAACATTAGGCTTGGGGATGAGGGAAGGCACAGAGGCAGTTGGAGAAGCACTTCTACCAACTCACTTTCGACTATCTATCTGTTGTATTTACTTCAAATATTTTGTAATGGTATCTTGTGGGGTAAAGGAGGGAACAGGGAGGAGAAAGGGGGAAGACTTAAAAAAACCCCCCAACACACACATTATTATTAGACATGTGTTAATATATCAGGAGGCATTATACAAGCCAGAGCTAGTGCTGAGGACTCAATTAATATCACCGCTGACTCCACTCACCTGTGAGCAGCCTGGGGCACTGCAGACAAAAGGCCTCTCCTGCTCCAAGTTCATCTTTGATTCCTCATAAATCTACATGTTAAAAGGGGGAGGGGGGAAAGAAAGGGAACCTATGAATATATACGTTCTAAACTTCACACATACATGCAACATACAATTGTCACAGTTTGTGCTTTGATTTCAAACTCCCCAAACAGACCAGAACAAAGTTTTTGTCCTCGGAATACTAAATTTGCTAATATTCAGCAGGCTCCCTACAGTCTAAGTTCTCATTACTACTTCCTAAGCACATATTTACTTTGAAGGAAGGAAAAAAAAACCTATCAGGCTTTCACAGCAGAAATCTGCCTCAGAAAAAAAAACATATGTTCAGTGTTGTTATTAGATAAGACCGTGTCTGCTCAGAAATATCTCAAATTAAGGGTTTTTACCTTTCCTCCTTCAGTTCCTGCTTACCA